TCCCCAGATTCCACTCCTCCGTACACTCTCCCTCTCTTCAGCACAGGTGAGTGTCTGTATCCGAAATGTCCCATGAACAGGGTTCAGTGAAAACAAACAAACAAACGCCGGCCGCGGAAACGGGGAAGGCTTGGTTTCTGTAAGCTTCTTCTCTTACCGGGACTGCATGGTCTGGTCAGCTCTTCAGGCTGCCCCCTTTAGGCTCAGTCCTCTGTGATCACAGACCCAGCTCTCAATTCCCCCGGCAGCACCAGGAATCCCGCGGTTCTCCTTTCCCCTGTTAGGGGCTGTGCCTGTCCCAAGGGACGCGGCTGTCTGCCACGCGGTCTCCCTCCGACTCTCTGGGCTCAGAGGTCTGGCAAACTTTCCTGCCCAAATCCCTGGTTTTTTTACCTTTCCAGGGGAGTTCTGCTCTTCCCGGCTGTAAACCGTCTTGCCAGCTGAGGAATTTTGCCAATTCGGGGTGGATGTTACTAGTTTCAGCTGCTCACTCCATTTGCTCAGGGACACGACCTGGGACGCGTCTGCCTATACCGCCGCCATCTTCCTGAATCAAATTCTGAGTGGCATTTCTGAGCAGGCAGCTGGATTTACGTGGCTGTGAGAGAGATCCGGTTTGGAGAACTACATTTGGGAGTTAGCATAGATACGTGGTGGTTAACACCCTGTGACTGGGTAGAATAATGGGTGCCTACTGTACACTGGGCACAGCGCTGGGCATACCTTAGCCCATGCAACACTTCTTGGAAATTTTCCCCATTCTACACATTGAGTGATTATGTTAAAAAGGTTAGTGTCATTGGGATTAAGATCATGTGTCTGGAGTTCAAGGTGACCCTGTCTACACGCACTGCATGTATTCCACTATCTAATTCATCTGGCACCACCTGCCCCCCCCCCCCCCAGACACATACGTGCTAGATAAAGCATGTAAGAGATAACCAGTGCTCTTATCCCTACTGGAAAGTATGTAAACACTGCCAGAGAGGTGGACTAATTTACCATGGCTTCCCCATCCATGTGACCGACCCATGGCCCGGAGTTCCTGCTCCAGGCCCCAGCTCTGGACCCCTCTACCCACTGTCAGCCTCTCATTCGCCCCCAGTAGGGCTGTTTGCCTTACTGCCCAGCACATGGGACAGAACTCCCACCTTATAGCCTGTCACCAACCCCAGGCTTTCGCCACTGGCCACTGTTGACCACTAGGGGGCGGTAACCCCGCAGTGGGGGCTGCCCTGCATCTTGCGGGTGTTCAGCAGCCTCTCTGGCCTCTAACCACTCCATGGCCTAACCACTCCCAGTCTCCAGAGCAGGAGTGAAAGATGTTAAAGACATTGCCAAGCATTTCCTGGCGGAAACATCACCCCTGCTAGAAGCCCTTGTCAGAGCCCCCGTCACATCATCCGGGGGAGCAAGGGCCTGCCTTCCAGGACCGGCCTCTTCTTCAAGTTGGAGGTTCCCAGCAGCTCCCAGAATCAGGCTGAGTTTTCGTTCCTGTCCAGTAGGCCCAGCCAGCACCCAATCGGGCCTCTGGAACCTGGACTCAGAGGCCTTGGCCTAAACCGCATGCCCCTCTGCAGATCCCACGGCGGCCGGCTCCACCCCAGCCAGGAGGCCCGTGCATCACGGCGTGTGAAGTGCAGGTGGCCCGGCAGTAACTCCAGGACAAATGGGGCCTCCAGTCGAAGTGGTCGTAAAGGTGCGGCCGCTTTCCGGTTTAGCACCGATATTAACGACTTCAGCCCAGAAGAGGAATGATTTTCCTCGGATTAGGTCTTTGCCGACTGAGCTAGCGTCACCGTGATTGACCGCCGAAAGCCTGCCACGTCTAACCCCGCAGCCATGCACAAGGTTTGCGTAAAGTACATTCACTCTGGAATATTCCAAAGGGGGGGTTCCCACTGCATCCGAGCGCTGTGCCTCCAAGCGTTGACTCGTTCATTTTCTACAGCCAGGAGCAGGCCGCCGGGTCAGCGCTTCTGCTCTTGGTCTCTTTCGTGCGCCTCGCTTCCTCTCTAATAAAAACCGCGTCCCCTGTAATGGGTATAATTGCACGTATCTTCTGTGTTTGTATTTTAAATATCACAGTACAAGATATAAGGCTGTAAAAGATGTCAAAACACACTGGTGCTCGGGGAATGGGATTTGTGCATGCTTGAGAGAGCAGCCAGGGAGGCTGCAGCTGCCTCCTGCCGAGCTGCCATTTCCAGTAATAAAACTGTGGAGGCTGTTGTCGGGACGCTCTGGACTGATTACCAACAGGCTCCACGCCACTGCTGAGTCATCCCCGGACCGGCACCGGGACCATTAATAACAGAGGGATGGCGAGGATGGAGGGGGGGGGGGAGGGGTGTGAGGGTGGGGGCGGGGGAGGGATATTTAAAAATGCAATGGTTTCAAATAAAGTGGCTCATGAATTATGCATTTAATTAAGGAAAGCCAAATGGGAAGGATTTTAAACTTCCAATTTGCAGAGGGTTTTTTCTTGCCCTATTAAAAAATAGACAGATTAAGCGCGCAGTGGCTGCTGATGAAACCAAGCAGATGAGGGCCCCTGAAGGCAGGCTGTGTGGATGGAGGGGCAGAGGCGGCCGGGGGAGGGACCATGTGACTGCATCAGCCATCACAGACGGGCAGCCAGGGCCCCTGGCTTGCGGTGGCCGCGGGCACGGTCGTCTCCCTTTAGCCTGCTCCTCTGGAGCATGGCGGGGGGGGGGGGGGGGGGGGGCTCTCAGGCCTTCTCCACCCCAGACAGTCCGTGAACTTCTGTACTGAGAACACGCTCTTCTCCAGGCCCCACAGCTCCCAGAGGCAGGACCACGGGGCCCCGAATCTCCCCAAGTCCAGGGCTTCCCTCTGGGGGTGCTCCTGCAGGGGAGATGGAGTTTGGCCTTGATGTAGGCAATTGTCAACGTGGAGACCGGGCCCAGGTCAGCAGCACCTGGGAATTGTCAGCAGTGGAATTATCTGTGTTGGGGTCGCAGAAGGAGGAACGCCTGAGGCCAGGAGTAGTAAAGAATTATGACCTCATCAGGTCATCTGGAGACCAGATGGGCTGAGCCCCCAAATGGCGACAGCCCCAGGGACAGGGAGTCAGAGATTTTAAAGGACTCCAGGCGGGGATTTTGTGGGCGGAGAATTCTCTGGGTGGGTCCTGAAGGGAAAGACACTGGTCTTGGCCAGTGAAATGCGGTCTGAGCGAAAGGGAATGTCCTGGTGAAGTGGTCTAAAGGTCAGGTCCCAGCGGAGGGTTATCCATTCAATCATTTGATCCAACCTGACAATCTGGCTCCTCCCACCGACAGAGCCCTCACGGGGCAGAGCCCAGAAATCCGGGTTTTACCGAGTCCTCCTGGCCATTCGGGTGCACACTCAAGTTTTAGGATCTCTGCTCTAGACAGGCCGTTTTGGAGAGAATTAGTTGTTAGGGGTTTCACAGATGTGTTCCATTCCCTGCTAATATTGGCTATAGATACATCATTTTGAGTGACAGGTTAACCTTCGATCCCACCAGATTCTGAGACACTGAGCTCAGGGCAGGCAGTGTTGAGGGGGGTGGAGTAGGAGGTGAGGCCCAGTCATCCCACATGTGAGAAGGGCTGGGTATGCCCGGAGCTTGGGGGTTTGAAGGAAGCCTGAGGGTGAGGGAGGGTAGCCATGGCAAGCCCTGACCCACAAAAAGAGAATCAAAGAAACAAAGAAAGGAAAAGAGGTGGTACTGGAGGAGGGAGCAAAGGATGTGGCGTCTGAAGGATCTAGGTCCTCGTCCTTCTCCCTCGTATCAACAATGTGACATCCACACCCTCTCATTAGAGCTCTTTTTTGTGGTTATTATTCTTTATGGAGTCATCCCTATTTCTGGACCGCAGTCTTGCAGGAGCTCCTACAAGTTCCACTCTTGAAGGACATTCTACATATAGGAGCAGGTCGAAACGTTTTAGCAGCTAAGGTAACAATGAATTCCCAAAGGGAGAGATGGGAATTACGGCCTCAGATCCCAAGATTACAGGGTATAGGAAATAATGATTTGGAGGCACAAGAAGCGGCAACCTGTCATTTCTGTTACGGGAAAGGGGTGACCTTGGCTTTCAGAGAGTGGGCGCTGGTTTCTCTCCCTCGGCGGCACTGACCGCAAACCCCTCAGCTCAGCACAGCCTGGACATTGGCTCAAGAGCATCTTTGTTCCACAAAAAGTTCAAAGATGAGGAGTCCCCGAGACCTGGGGAATCTGAACTACATTTGTCCTCTTTATGTTGAAGGGAAGTTGACGATCTAGATGGCTCTGTGGTTTCCAACGAAATCCCTTGGAACCCCCTTTTTTGGTGGAGACAAAGCAAGAGGCTTGGACGTGAGGCAGCAAAGGGCATCAGTAAAGAACCTTAGAGACAAGAGACCCCTTGGGATGATGAAGGATGCCAGGAGGGACTTGCAGAAGAAAACAAAGACTTGGTAACTGGGAATGGACAAGAATTTCAGAGCACGTTTTAAAAGAAATAAGACGTGACTTGCATTTGTCCATTCTTGGTAAGGCACAGACTCTTAGGGGGGTCAAAGGAAGGCAGAGGGCAGAGTAGGCCATTCACAGAAACATGGGTTCAACCTCCCGAGCTCTGCAAAGAGAAATCTTGCAACGTCTCAAGCGATGCTAGTCCGTCCTCTGCTTGGTCACCACAGATGGTGAGCGCATTGCTCACAGCTCAGCTGCAGCTCTGACCTTTACATGGACCTTCCTTATCCTAGGAGTCAAACAGCACTCTGACATCCCCACCACCTCCAGCTCCTGCCTCTGCCTTCTGGCCATCATGGGCAGGGTGACCATAGAATGTGTCATCCAAACTGGCTACATCTGAATAGAGGAGAATGTTACTGTTCCACCAGGACCACAGACACACTGGACAAACAGGGGCGGGATCTTATTCTCATCATGGATAAGGAGGGCACAGAATTTTCAGAGAAGGAGGAGCCTGGTAAGGACACGAGGTCTTTTTCCTGTTTTCCAGATTTATCTTACGCATGGACCTTCAACGATAACCCTTTGCACGTCCAAGAGGACAACAGGCGGTTTGTTTCTCAAGAGACAGGCAACCTGTACATCGCCAAAGTGGAGCCGTCCGATGTGGGCAACTACACCTGCTTCGTAACAAACAGGGAAGCGCGGAGAAGTGTCCGAGGCCCACCCACGCCCCTGGTGCAGCGGCCTGATGGTAAGGGGATGGGCTATCTTGGGGGTGTGCTCGGTCGGTGGCTAAGCCTGGGAGGTCTGTGAGCGCTCTGCTTCCCTCTGGTCCAGAGCAGCCACACCATCTAGGAGCCCCGGGTCCATTCACGACTATGATAACCATCACAAACATAAAAAGATTCTGTAACTCACCCAGGTGATGCCATCTACGTGATTCTGGCTATACAATGCCATCTCTTCTCGGGCACTGTAATCCATCTGCTTTGCTTTGCTTTGCTTAGGGAGTATTTTGTCAAAAACGCTATTTGGGGAGTAGGTGTGTGTATACATGTGTGGGTACTGCCAAACTTATTAATTGAATTGTTATATTTTTAATGAACATGGGACACAGCTTTCCTTTGGTGCCTTTCTTTTCCATCTTTGTCTCTTTTGTTCACCCTTTATTAACCTGGCTGACAAAAAGAGGGAAAATTCACATTCCAGGGAAGAGAGAGAGCCAACATTAGTTATGAGCATTGCAAAGAGGAATGAGACGCAAGATGCATGCTAACGCTTGTCTGCCCAGAAACACACTTCAGATGAGCTGTGTAGCTTAATCAAGTCATCGCCGGTGTAAGACTGAGAGGATGGAAAACGTAAGAAAGTCATCCAAGTAGAAAAATCCTCCAGCAGATTCTTTAATTAAACATGCACAGTGGGAGAGGTGCCCACAGAAAGTCGGCGGCTGCATTTTATGTTCAGATTCTGGAATTGGCACAGAGTTTATCTCCTCTCGGAGGAGTTTAGCAAAAGCAAGAATATAATGCTAATGATGGCTACCAAGTGCTGAAACTGGCTGCATGCAGGCAGTTCTCAGGAGAGAGCTTTCATAATCACTGACTGCCCAACAGGTTTTCATGGTCTCCATTCAGAACTCAGCAACCACTAGATTTATCCATGAGTCTGATGTCTCCCTTCAGGTCAACAACATGCATAGAAATTCTACCGTGTTTCCCCACTTTTTGCTGTTTCCCTTAGTTTCTGCTTCTCCCCTTCTTAATTCCCTTCTTCTCCCACCCCTCTCTTCCTTCAACACATTCATGATAACAAGAGATCAGGAGCATTGTATATAGTAAAAGTTGTCACTCAAGAAAGAGCAGATGTCAAGAGAATGGAAAGTATGACACCCACCCAGGTAGGTGAGTAACATAGTGCTCTACCCATGACCCTTCTGAATGTTCAGAATGACCAAGGTCTTAAAAATGAGGTATTTCTATGGCCACGTGTTTTGTAATTTTTGCCTTTGGTTCAATTGTACTGGCCACCAATAACTGCTTATTTTAGGAACCTATCACTCTAGTAAAACAGTAACCAAACTGTTAAAGAACCTTAGTGTGTCCTCGGTTAAATGAACGAAGCCTATGAGGGTAGAGCGGAGACACGTCGCTGCTGGTCACAGCTCACCTGGCAGAGGGCATATTTACAACAATCAGACGGCGGTCTCACGCTCAACCTAGCCCCTGCCCACAACGCCTTATTGGACATTCAAAAACTATCAAAGCAAACATTCTTATACGTGTAGAGCAAACCTATTGAGCAGTAAGCACTTAATAAAGTGACATAAGAATATTTACTAATTTTTGTTTATCCCAACTAGCGCGATCACTGCACGGGCTTTGTTGCAGAAATGCTGAGATTTTGGATTGAGGGGTGCTGCCTCAGACCTCTCACCTTGTTAGCTGAAAATTTCCTTATTCCTGAACCGACCTGGTCCCCGAGTCCCGCCAAGGGAGACAGGGCTGGGTCTCGCTAAGAGAGACGTCTGTGGTCACCCAGGAGCATCCTAGATGCTGTGTTCAGTTCCCCGTCGGTGACGGTAATTCTTCTCATGATGCTGATGTGGGACCCAGGGAAACGGATGCCTCTTTTCTGACACTTCCATGTCCTGGACATTTGATTTTCGGGGGAGGGGAGTGCCGAACCCCTTGAACGGTATCATGACCTTCTCTTGCTCCCTGTCAGTCATGAAAACATAGAAACGTACTGTTAATTGAAGGACAGAACATCCGATGTTGTTTAATGAAGCATCGACTTCATGGGAAACTTCTGTTTTCTGTTCTCCAGAATGCTGCTAGCTCTTTTGATGTTTAACAGGTGTGATGGGGGAATATGAACCAAAGATCGAAGTGCGTTTTCCTGACACTGTACAAGCCACAAAGGATTCGTCTGTAAAACTGGAATGCTTTGCCCTTGGAAAGTAAGGTTGTTTTGTTTTGTTTCCTGGTGTTTTAATTAAAAAAAACAAAAAACTTTTTGTTATTCAAACATTGCTCTAAGGTAAATTACCAAACAGATTTCAAATGCTGGGGGAATGAGAAAGTTTCTGATTGGAATTTAAGCAAAATGCCGAATACTCTGAAAATGATGGGGCTGCAGTTCTCCCCTAAATCGCTGTTATTTCTGCCAGTCTGACCCACTTCGGCAGCAGCTGCAGGAGAGTAAGTGCGCGGGTGTGTCACCAAGCCCTCCACACACCCTGCCTGCATCCTGTCCCACATCCACGGCCCGAGGGGTCGCCCTGCGTAATTAACCAGCGATTAATTATAAATGAAAAGCCTGCACTGTGGTTCCCAAAATAAGCCTAATTAAGGGCCATTGTTCACAGTGGACAATTAGATTGAGTCACACCTGCGGCAGTGGGGGTGCTTGGTGAGACTCAGATACCTGTGCATCAGCCAACAGGATTGGGATGCTTCTAGGGCGGCCAAAAACTTGCTGTTTTGCACATAACATTCGGACATCTCTTTACCTTTGGGGGATGGGCCAGCTTCATTTTTATGCCTGTGGACACCAGTAGCCCCAGAACAAAGGGGTAAACAGGGTAGATTCGCGGTTTCTAAACATGAGTGTGCAATACACCGGGGACGTGGTTAGAGTGAGATGTTGTAGGTGTCGGTCCCACGTCTCTGTCCCCGAGGGCTCCCAGGCAGGGCAACTCTTGTCCACAGACCACACTGGACGGGCTCAGGCTCTCACTGGCCGAGTGAGGGCTCCCTCTGAATGCAATTGTACTGGCCACCAATAACTGCTTATTTGAGAATAGGGTGGGTAATACACGCAGGAAACACAGCCGTCTATTGCTAAGGTGGTCAGCACATTTAGAAATGGTGCTTACCAGTCCGAAATGCGGGAAACACCACTTAAAGTGCCCATCTTGTTCTTAGGTAAATACAGCGAGCAACCCAAACAGGGCTGGTTAATAAAGCTGTTCGGTTCCTTTTTACATGTGGAATTCTGCAGATATTTAAAGTTTTCAGTCTATGTGTTTTTCATGTATTTAAAAGATTCTATTTTATTTTTGCTCAGTACTGATCCCCTAGTATTTGTCTAATGGTTAATTCTTGATTGATTAATTTAAGGAAGGGAAAAATGGGGACTTCATGTCAGTGTTTGTTTGCCTGCCTTTAAAGATACTATGGACTTTGACCATTTTCAAGCTTTCTCAGAATTTAAAGTTACCAAAAAAAAAAATATATATATTTGTTAGAAAAATACTTTGAAAACTAGGTGATTTATTTAAAAAAGAAAACCAGTGAGAGATAGCATCTGAAACAGATATCAATAGCTTATTCTATTACATTGAACATCAGGAAATGTGGATTCCTGAAATTTAAAAAAACATACTCTTACATAATAAATAACCAAAAATTATTGAGGCTAGTTCTCAAGAATCCCACATAAATAGATGTTATTTGTTAGGATGTCTAACTAAGAATGTATCTGATGTATATTATCCTCAGAATTGTGCAGGGTGCACCATAGCTTTTTACGTGTGAGAACGTGAGGCTTACATTGAATGAGTCGCCTGTGTGGTTTCAGCTTCCGTGAGGAAGGCAGGGCAAGGAACCCACTCCCACCTGGCTTTAGGCTCTGAGTAATTATTTTAAATTCACAGGCTCATACTCCAGAGCTTTGCCGTGTTTGGGTCTGGCTGCAATGCTTGCTTTGTCTCTGCAGACTGCTTTTTTGCACTTTTTATTGAAACCTAGACATGCGGTCTCGGGTAAAAGGAACAAGGTAACTAGCTTTTAGAGTGAGGTTTATGTTTATGCAGCTAAGACGTGGGCTGTGCTTACTGTGCACGGTGGCGGCACCAGAGGCCAGCGTTTCCGTGCTGTCCACAGGTTTCTGTTGTCTCCCTGATCTGTTTGGTTTTTCTAGGGTCTTTGTCCCTATGAGTCTGAGGTCTGCTGTTCTTCCTGCTGCAATCCCCACTCTGCTATGGAGCCCCCCCTCCCCCGCCCCCGCCCCGAGGACGTGAGAGTCCCTGTTTGCTCATTCCATCATCCCTGTCACCTGTGGGTCTGTTTCTATTGACTGCTTTTTCTCCTAATCATGTTTCTCATTGGTAGGTCATCTAGTAATTTTCGATTGAATTGTAGACATGAACATTATGTTGTGGAATGCTGGACTGTGGTATATTATTCCAGGTGTTAGATTTTATTGATCAGAGTTAAGTTACTAGGAATCTCGGTGATCTTTCTGTGGCCCGTGAGTAAGCTTCCTTCGAGTAGATTCAGAGTCAACATTTGTCTCAGGCTGGTTTATGACTGAGATGCACCTTCAGCTGAACGCTCCAAAGGCTCACCTGTGGATGGTGGGAAGCCGTCTTCTACTTCTGTCTGTGAGAATTGTTCTCTGCCTTGCCTTGCGTGTCCCTCTTAGGCAGACATCTGGAGCTTGTTCCATTAGCGGTCCCACCCTCTCCGATCCTACAACCCCAGCTCCTCAGTCCTCCATGCCTCCTCACCTCAGTGAAGCAGGCATGTCCCATGTCTGTCCTCCCTCCATATTCTCTGACCTGGAAAGTGCCTGGGGAGAGAAAACAGGTACACAACAGGCTCCCTTTGGGGACCACGGTTTTGTGCCCCCCCCCCTTGTTACATTTCTAGAGTCAGGTTTGTTTCTATACATTTATCCAGTTTCCTAATGTTTGCAGCAAGAGGTAAATGCAGGCCCTGTTACACCAACATAAATGGAAGCCTGGGGTTGATTTAACACAGTGGCGTTAGGGAAATGTGGACCTGGTGTTGAAATCTAGTCTCACTCGTTCTGACTTCAAAACCCACACCCATAGGCACTGGTATTTATATCAGATTTTAACATGTAAATAAATTCCCCATGCGCAGATGAAGTTCGCCCCCAATTCTGTACATGTTTTCCTTTTAAAAAAAAAAGGCTTGAAATTTTTCAGAAAAATGTTAAAATAATTTTATGTGGGGAATGGAACTACGGAGATATTTTCTATTTAGATTCTCTGTAATTACTACTATATCAGCAACCAGTACATTTCGATTTTATATATTAATGATTTAAAATTTTTCAAAAAATAACTTTTTTCAAATTCAATCTTTTTTTTTTTTTTAAATGAGAAGAAATATGTGATTCCCCAAAATCAATCAGGGCCATTGAGGAGCATATACCCTACCATTTTATGTACGATGATATCAATATCTACCATCTGTAATAATCTGGTATAGACCAGCGGGTGTGGCTCAGTGGTTGAGCATCAGCCATGAACCAGGAGGCTGGTTAGAGTCCGGTCAGGGCACATGCTGGGGTTGCTGGCTCAAGCCCCAGTAGAAGGCAGTAAATTAATGATGTTTCTTTCTCATTGATGTTTCTATCTCATTATCCCTCTCCCTTCCTCTCTCTAAAATTAATAAAAAAATTAAATTATTATTTTTTAAACCTGGTATAGAGGGTTAGAGAGGAAGCACAGCTTCCTTCCCAGCCACCACCTTCGGAGGCAGCTGCTAATGTGCAGGCAGGGAGGACGAAGAGGAAAAGTAAGGCTGGCAGGGGCGTGTATGCACCAAGTCGAATCATCTTCAACCAGCGCAGGCTACCCTGAGTATAGAGTGATTATGACCAAACCTCAGATTCCTGCCTCACCTTCAATGTCTTTGGCTCCTGGGACGTATCACTTTCTGTGCTGCAGTTTCAAAGCTGTCGTGATCACAGATTTAACTCTCAACTCTTCTCATTTGTTTCACGTGGCAGACTCTTAATTATCTGAGCTGCAAATTAATTGCGTTGTGAGGCACCCTGAGAGGCTCGGGGTGTGGGTGCTGTGCAAAGGCAGGCAGGTTGGCTGACACACCTGTGTCTCCTTGGAAGCCAGCACAGGCCTGAGCTCTTGGTGCAGAAATTAAACCGGTGTCCCTCGTAACTCTCCCGCCGCTAGTAACCAACCCCACGGATTTCCTTTTCTTCTCCTTCTTAATTTAAGAACTTGGCTGTCAGTGCGCTGGGGTGTAAATAAAATCCATAGCCCCACTGCGTGTTCCCATGTCCCGGAGCCTTCGCACAGAGGACCATATTTATGTAAACATGTATATCTTATGTATATATATATTTCCCTAATTTATGGGGGGAAAATACCCAGCTTGGCTATTAATGTCCAGCAGTAAATCTGAAGCCTCGCCGAGGTGTTTCTAGGTGTCCCAGGACTTCCAGAGGCCTGAGCAGGCGTCTGACGTTTGCTTTTCTCCTCACGCAGGGGACGTCCTGCAGGGCGACCACAAGGCTGTGGAGTTACACTAGGTCCATTCAGACTTTCTAGGCCCATAATGATTGGTTTAAAATCATCGGCAAGGTATCTTAAAATTCCCTGTTTGAAAGTCTAAATAGTCATTTGGCTCATTGTGCTGAGTAGCTAGAGAGCAGAATATTTCCCCAGACATATTTGCCCACGTGCCCCAGAATGTATTCTGAAACCTAGTCTTTTATTACTTTTAAAATATATGTTTTTATTGATTTCAGAGAGGAAGGGAGAGAAAGAGAGACAGAAACATCAAGGATGAGACAGAATTGTGGATCAGCTGCCTCCTGCATGCCCCCTACTGGGGATCGATCCTGCAACCCTGGCATGTGCCCTGACCAGGAATTGAACTGGCACCTCCTGGTTCATGGGTCAACGCTCAACCACTGAGCCACATCGACCAGGCCCTGGCCCCATTTGATAATCATGACAATAAGCAATTAATGAGCCTTCCTTTTGGTACAGGCTTCACATTCTCAGTGATATTTCCCCCTTGGACCCTCTTCCAAAGCCTGCCCGGTGCCTGTTATCTCTAGTTGCAGGTGAGGATCCAGCTGAGGCTCCGAAGGCTAGGGATCTACACTGTGTCACAGAATCGACCCGTGTTTCCTACCCTGTGTCAGTGCCTCCATGATCAGGTGCATATCACTGTG